CCGACGTCTGGCGTCGCGCCAAGCCGGCTAGGAAAGAACACAGAAAGAGCAGCACGTGCTTCCGACACCTCGCGATTTCGTGAATCGTGACTGCCGCCGCGCGACGTCCGTGTAATTTTAGTCCGTGCTCGATTGAAATTATTTTGGTACGTCGCGAGAGAGAAAGAAAGAGAGAGGAAGAGAGAGCGCCGAATTCTCTCTCTCTCTCTCCTTTCTCTCGCTCTATAAATTCGACCGGCGAACGAAACGGACGACCACCTGACACCCGCGCCTGTTGGCGCGATGCCGCGTCGCGATTCTGATGGCACGAGGCACCGTCGGATTGAACGGTAAAGATCGATTTATGCCCCGTCGCCGTCGTGGTTGACGCAGAGCGCAATCTCCGAGGATATACGAGTCGATTTTTCGGGATGCCCTCTCCCTTCTCTTGTTAACGACTCGCTGTCAACTACGTCCCTGCGCGTGTAACGCTCAAAGTGGAACGTTTTGTAAACTTTCGTATCTGCAGCTGTGTGTGAAATTCTATTCACATATAGAGTTGCTCCACTTACAAAGATACGGAAGAGATTGCAAAACTCGAACGTGCAGACCCTTCGCATGCGAAGCTGAGTGAAACTTGAGAAGAGATAATTGTGACGAATATATTCTAGTTCTTAATATTTATTTTCATAAAAATATATATAATTTTAAGTCGTCAAAATTTTGCGCATTCTTATAATTTCTGAGACAATTCTATTTGTATCGATACATTATCATAATCTGTAAAAAGAGAATTGTGCAAAGTGAGGAAGCTTTATTTAAAAAAAAAAGTTGATAAAATGAAAAGATGTTTCAAATCTAAAGTTTTCTTTGAGTCTTCCCTTCCGAGAATCCAAGCAGCTGCTTTGTAAGCCGGTTCCTGTAGAATAATAAATAAATAACGTGTCTCTCTTTTCATGGCAGATACATACGTCACGCGATATAAAATCGCTTTTTGTTGAAACTTTTGCGGTTGATTTATACGGCATGATCGTCCCAAATAAAACGCAAAATAAAAATCCTGATATATAGTAAATTTCGAGAAATGCTAAAATTAAACCAGTTTCTTCTTACAAAATAAGATGCGTTCTAGAAACAAGTTGATCTACGATTACTTAAACGTGTAAACGTCCGTCTGTTTTTAATAGCTTGTTGAAAAGCATTAACGTATGTATTGTAATGTAACAATCTCCGAAGTTGCTAATTTATATGCATTTATAATTGCTTGCAAAATATTATCATATTAAATATTTGTAATATTTATAACATTTGTTTGCAAATTATTATCATGTTAAACGGATATTTCTTCTATTGATATTGTTGAATATTTCACCAATTTAATCAATTTAATAATATAAATTTGCATGGATAAGGCTAATTATAAAAATTATATATATGCGAGTTATTATATGCAGCGATAAAATTGGCGTAAAAGCGCAACAAAAAGATTAAATCTTCTATTAATTGATTAGATAAAATAACGAATGAAAACTTGTATACCCGAATTTTATGTTACACGTGTGTGACACAGAATTAAATTCCTGTTGCGAACAGAATCGTCAAGACACAGACACTATCGCGACGAAAAATTGCGACGTATATATAAAATTTTCCGACCGGATTTTACGTGACGTTAAACATCCCGCATTGCAGTGGCAACAAAATACGTCTGTTTGCATTTAATCACTATCGTGAAACAGAGTGCTCCTCCTCTCTTCCTTTGATTCGTTTGGTTGATACAATGGAAACGGGAGTGCCGTGGCTCAACACTCCTTCCACAATCGAATTCGTTCGCGCATGATTAATTTTTCCATCGCATGTTTTATTACGCAATACTACAAAAATTGTTTGCATAATCTCCTAACGGTGCCGTTACAAAGTAAATTTTCAAACATTTAAAAATTGAGACAAACAAATTTTTAATTAACTTATTACAAATATCTCATTATATTCTTGATTTCGCAATAAAAAATTAATATTGAATTTTCGATATTCCTGATTTTCGAGAAAAGTGACATAACTGACAACGCATTTCTCTCGAAATGATTAGAAAACTGAGACTCCTTGACAGTGCTTTGTGCAATCGTCACTATATAAGACGTGAAAATAAGAGAGATTTATCACGTGTTACTTTACGCGACGTACAAGCTAGACCCTGCGATACGTCGACATGTCGGCGGAAAATTTTATTTTCCACTTTATGCGCATGCAAGGCGCGCTACTTCAATTCCTCGCCGTTGCAAGAAAAATGCACGCGTATCTCGCTCGCTTACGCATTGATAGCGTGACCGAAGGCATCATAAATTTACAGTTATGATGGAGCTAAGCTTACTAAACTTGTAAATTACAGTCATGCGGAATACCGCGTTATTAACAAAACGAAAACTTCCGACTTAGTCGCATTCTAATAATAAATTATCGTTATGTTAAATTTGTATTCGTAATTTGTGTCTTCCGCCACATTGTCCAAATTCAGAAAGATAAATTGAATAAATTGTCACAGTTTCCTACTGCATTGCATTACTAGTTATTCGTAGTGAAAGGATCATTAAAAGTTTATGTACATTAGTGATGCTACGAATAAATTTGATGTACACGGAATAATAATTATCTCTTCGAACTCGTCAATTAAATTCACGTTAATAAATGACTACATGTGCAATGAACCTCATAAATTTTCAAAATATAAAATTTTATACGAACTTAATGTGGTAATAATTTTATTGAACAGCAATTGGAAATCAAGATAGTATAACATGAGAGGTAATCTAATTTCTATCGAGCTTGATTAATGCCGTGAGCTGTCATAGAAATCAGTTAGTAGAAAAAGATTAAAAAAAAATATAAATTTTCTGGATCAAACGTAAATCTGGCATCAAGTTTCACCGGTGTGTGTCTCGCTGGTATTTTCACAGGTGCATATGACAGAATAGAAGCACGGGGTAAAACCAAGTTACGCAGTGCTGCCAAGAGAGCGTATCACGCGCGCGGAGGTATTGAAGCCGCGTGTACATAGGGAAAGGACTAATACCTCGTGTTCAGCAGTCATTAACGTCCTTGGCGCGGCGAGTAATTCCACGTCTTTCTTCAATTTCAAGAGCTAACGCGGGAATAATATTCACCCGGACGCCGCGCGGACCGGGTGATTAATGGTTCGCGTAATTTTTCACTTCGCCTAGCCGCACTGATTTACATCTACGCGGATCTTGCCTCCTGACTAGACGTCACAATGTAAGACGAGATTTATGTCACCGGGTTATCTCCGCTGGAATGAAATCATTAAATCCCTGAGATATATTTTATTCCACGCTATATACGCAATAGTCTAATAAATGAAATTTTTTTTTATAATTCAAGGTCGTCATACATTTTTTACGCAGTTCTCGCTGCGCGATTAATTACAGCGTGCAGAGGGAAGCGAGTCGTTCATTTTCAAATCATTTGGAAAACACGAAAAGGAGAAGTGTCACGTTTCTAGTTCTCAAAAATATTTGAACATCAAGTTTTCTCAAATGTTTCGAAATGTCCGGGTGGTCCATGTGTTCAGACGATGCGCACAATGTTTCATTTTGTCATGTATATCCGAGAAATCATTGCTTCTGTCAAAGTAACAGAAGAAAGGTCGGAAAGTTGATCCGAGTGGCGGTTGTTAAAAATCGAACCCGAGTCGCCGGTCTAAGACGTTAAATCCTTTTGCGAACCCTCGCCTGGCAGCTAGCGTGAAACAATGGTGCGCTAATGGCGCGGTAAGAAGGCATCGGCCGCGCAAAATGCGGCGGCAACAATGCGCCGGTACCGCAATAACGAACGCATTGTTGGTAGGCGCCGCGACAAAGGGCCGGCATTATGAGACGTATTAACATGTCCAGGCGCATCAAGCTTGCCCTCTTAATAATTTACTCTCTCGACTTACGCGCGCGCGACGACCCGATGCCGCCGCGTCTCTGCCCACGTGTCGCTCGTTACCGCGCCTCCTTCTGCCGCGTCTCCGGCGCTACGCCGCCGCCGCCGCCGCCGCCGCCGATGCGTCCCGGAGGAGCCGCGCATTATCTCGCCATGCGCAAATAACTATTCCGCAACTATTTTTGAACCCAATTGCGTCAAGGGGTTTAGACGAAGCAAACTTGGCTTAGCGCGATTCAGAGATTGCAGGTCTATCCGCGATAAGACTCGCTCATTTGATTTGCAGCAGTCTTACTTGATACCCGGATCTCTCGTTATCTCGCTGCGTTATCTCGTTTGCGAATGATTTCTAGAATTAGTCTTTTATCGCACACCGTTTCATTCATTTTTCAATGCCATTGCCGTGAAGGTTAGAATGAGCGCCACTGTCCACGGTCTATCGACCTTGTATTCTTCTTACGACTCTCTAATTTCCCTGCTACAATCATTTCTTCTCGAAGAGGGTCTTGAAATGTGACGCCGCCTTTTCCCGACTCCTTTTCAAGAACACGCCGAGCTATGTGTATCCCGACGCGCGCGAGCGCCCCGAGACAAAGTGAAACGCCCAAAATGCCGCAAAACACGTGGTACCGAGTTGACACGTGAAAAATGTGAAATTTAAGGAAATTAGATCGATAATGTTTTCACGTAATCAAGATGGCGTTCGCCGGGATTTATGTACAGTGACGTTGTTGTGACCATAGTTTTCCAAGGAGTTAACCCAGATATTTTTCAAGAGTTTAGGATCCAGTTTATCTCTCTCGAGTGAATTAGTGACTCTCCGAGAATAACAAAAGGTCATCTTTCTCCTCCGCCCCATCCCACTTAGATTCCCATTATCTATCTACAGAACGTCCGAGTCCTGGGGCGGTCCAAATGATTTAGATTTCATTAAAAATTGTTTTCTTTCAGTCCGTGTAGCAATTAACTATTTAGTGTACCAATCTTAAAGTAACTTAAATGGATATTTATTGAATCGAGATCGGACAGACAGTAATCGTTCATTATTTTTCCGGTGTTTATCGAAAAAGACCACTCACCTTCGTACATTTGCGCGTACTGCGGAAACCCGGCAGCTCTCAGCCATTTGCAAGCTTCCTGCGCCTCGATTTCTGAAACATTACAAGAACTGTCAATTAGTGCTAATTAAAAGATTACAAACTAACGCTATTACAAATTAGCACTCAAGATGATATTTAGAAGATAAGTATATTTTTTATCTAATTAGAATCAAGAAACTTGTTAACACGTACTCGGGTTATTTACACAAATTAAGGTAATATTCGCGAGATTGGGCAAAAAGAGAGAAAACGCGCGGAAAGTGTGTGAGATTAATCGCAAAAAAATCGATAGCGCGATAAGAGGCATCTCGGAAAGCCGGCCGTCCCGCTGAGACGAGGAGGACGGGAATCGAGTGCCGGGCGATCGTGTATCCGCAGGGCGATAAAACGTGGGTAGCCATCAGTATCGATATCGCCGCGGCGGATTTATCGATTTCCTTAGCAGCGGGTAGTCCTCGCGAATGCGCGGCCAACGTCTTTATTTTCCGCCCGCGAGTATCTCACCCGCGGCGCGCGTCGGTAGTTGAATCGATGCACCTTTTAGTTCGCTCTTCGATTAATCTACGACTCCTAGAGCACTATTAGTCGCGCTAACAGTGCACAGCAGTCGCGTAATATCACAGGCGTCGAATTTATTGTGCGTTTCCGATGTAGCCATCCTCCGTTTCTTTTATAATTAATGAATTTGATCTCTTGAATCATTTAATAATGAAAATCTACAAATATCGGAATTTTACTTGTTCCGATATTTGAAAAGATCAAAGTTCAGACATTAAATGTTAAAAAGTTTTCAAGTTCTAAATTAAACCATTGAATATTTCAAATATGTATACTTGTTGAGATTGTTTGTCCAAAGCAGATTGGAAATTTTGATCTTTATGAAATTGCTCATTCCATAGATACATTTTGAAGTCAAATGCAATGCGACGACGACATTGTAATGCTCATTTAAAGAAGGAAAAAAAAAAAAATGAAACTAAGCTACGGGAAGTCACGCGAGGTCGACGACACGAATTTACGTAAGTAGCTATGCGTTCATGTATGTATTCATGTACGTATTCACGTATGCCACTTATAGACATGCAAATGAACCGTCTCGCTCCTAAGTGCTCACCAATTGCCTTCAGATCTCAAATCACATGAAAAGGATGCTTAGAATGCTCGCCTTTCTCTCGATCGCGCCTCGCGAGCATCTAATAACATTAAATTTACCGATGGCGAAAGAAACATTTCGATTTTGGATTAAGAGATTGTCGATATGAGTGTGTAAGAGACGCGAGTAATAATTCTAAAGAAATCGTAAAGGTGATGTTTGTGTCTTTACAAAGTACATATTTTAACGCGCAGAAAGGGCATTCGTGACGAGAATAAGTGGGTGTTTACACGGCGCTCGTATAGGGAAAAAAATAGTAAACAAGAAGCGTGGCAGAAATGTAATCCAAAGGGCAAATAAAAATTCGCGAGGAGGATGCGAATGAACACAGAGAACAAGGCGATGAGGAAGCGGATGAGGAAGAGAAGTTCGCCTTCACCGCTGCGGAGATCGTTACGGCAACTAACGCAGCCGTTCTGTGAACGCGTGGGCGAATTATAATGAGATAAAGTATCTCTATAAACGTTAAAAATATCCCTTCCGCGCACACGCGAGTAATAATGCGCAGAATCGACGCCGGTCGCGAGAACGAATAGCATGCGCGATGCCCGATGAATACTTCATATTTTAATATGAATAAAAATTAAAAAGTTGTAATATAAAGTTAAAATTAAAAAGAATTTAATGTGAAATGTGTTAATGTTTATTTTACAGCCGTATTATAGTTTCAATAAGTTCCATTTCTCACGCTGTATAAATATAATAAAGTACGTGGGTTATTTAAGAAGTTCTCAGAATGAAAGAGAGAGATAAATGGCATTAATATAAATTTTCGAGAATCGCCGATTGAAGAAAATAAAGAAGGGAAAAAAGCAGTTGATGGCCTTGATATTTTGCAGCCCTTGATAAACGAACATGAATATAATAGCTTTGAAGCATCGTTATATGCATTGGATGTTAAGAGAGATCGTATTAAAAAATGAAAATAATTGTAAAAAGATATCAGTCGTTTTTTATTTCATTTTGAGAACTTTTCAAATAATTCGTGTATATGCTACGTCAATTCTCATATTTCTATCATCAGAAATAATGAACCGGATGTGCATATCCACATCATTGAAACGTTAACTTATCAAAGTTATATCATTTTCAGTGAGTTGGTTAAAATAACAGAGTTTAGAATTACGGAGAGAACCGCAAGTTAGATTGGGTTATTATATCGAACTAATTAACAGGGTAATTGCGAAGTTTCTGCGAATTCGAGTGGGTCTTCGTGCAGAAGTCGGTTAACTACGCAACAGTAGCAATCCAAGTTGTGTATAGCTTACTTGAGAGAGAAAGAGAGAGAGAGAGAGAGAGAGAGAGAACGAGCGGAGAGCTTTTATCTCGCGCGAAGTGACACACCTACGTACCGCTTTTATGCAGAACGTAGCTAAGAGTTAAAAGCAGCGACCTACCGCAAAGCCGTATTATTCCGTAGTAGATTTCCGTCGCGAGTCTCGCGAAGGTACAAGAAGAATGAGTAAGGAAAGTTGCATGCCGCAAGTTATTAACATCGCATAAAGGATAAAAGGTGCGAAGACTCAACCTTGTAAAGCTTCTTCTCTCATCATATCTTAGTCACAGTTTAAATATTTACTTTACATCATTTTGTTCGCGCAATCAAGTGCCATCTTTGTGCACGTCTCAATTCTCTTTTCTCACGTGTAAAAATAAATTTTTATCGATCGTTCGACGATATCCGTTTCCTCGGCGTCAAGAAAAATGCGTCAAAAAGCGTGGATACAGAAACGCCGTTGTCGCGACACATGCAAATACGGAAATCCAGACTCGATCGGCGTTAATCTTATTACAATCGGTAGTTTTATTCCCTCGCAGTTCGTGCGTCCTTGATCCCCGCGGGATGAACATTAATTAAATGGCGGTTCAGCAGTTTGTTCGACAGCCGTGGCTTGTTATCGCATGCAAAGCCCATTTTTCCGAATTAAAAGTATCCTCACGCATCGTTGATTAATACGGGACGGTACACGTCAGAATGCCATCGTTCGAATTTCAAAGTATCGACGCGATATCTACTTTTTTAACTTCCATTCTGTTGGATCCCAGTTTGCGCGCTTGTTGAATGGATTAAGCATACAGCATAAATGCGAGATTCCAATTAAATTTAATCCTCCTCGATCTGATATTATTGCATCTAAATGCAATTTTGTTTCCAATGCACGTCATGGAATCTTCGAATCTTTTGCATTGAAGCTTTGCTTCAATAAAGATAAGTTTCACGAATGTATAAAAATAAAAAAGATATATTAAGGCAAATAATTAAAGCATAAAATATAACAGAGTATGTGACACAACAATAAAATAGTCAAATATAGAATAATATAAAAGTGCTATAACGCGCACAGTATTTAGAATTTTTAATATAAAAAATCTGGCTGCTTTAATATTAAAGTATTTGAATTTTATAAACACTGGAATCTTTTCAATATCGGTTGAAAGTTTCCGATTCAAGTTATCAGCTCTATCTCCGCGCGTTCGGCAGCTGTGCTAAAATTTGAAACAAAATTTATACATCGTATTTGACGTCAATATCAAAGTGGGTCAAGCATTAGAAGAAGTCTGAAGTGAAGTAGGGAGCGCAAAAAGCGCCCGGAACTTTATGCGACAGATCGAAGTAGAAGGACAAGGCAATTTCACGAAAGCACGTGTATCGCGTCCCACAATCTAAAATGTGGGATTGTCCATGAATTCAGATTAAATGTATAAGCACCGAAAATATATTTTTTTTCTATCTGCTGTTACAATTTTCGGATAGACATCGTCAATCGCGTGTTTTCGTCTGAAAGCCCACGACGGAGGTACATATATTCTGAAGTAGCAGAACTACCTCCGTTATTCTTCAACGATTACAACCCCGTGGAGATTTTTGGGGCAACAATGGCAAATATTTCTTTTTCACTGCGCGAGGAAAACACGAACGCGAAGCTAAGTTTTAAATGAAATATTAAATAAAACAAGAAGAAATATTCGCAACTTATTCCCAAGTTTATTTCTGATGGCAAGGAAAGTATGCTATCATTAAATAAAACTTTACTTTTCTCATTGTCAGCAGCAGAGAATAAAAGTGAAAATTTTAATGAAGTGCCAGAGAAAAGTGTTAATACATCACGCGAAATATCCTTTCCCGTGAAAATTTAATATAAAAAAAAGAATGACAAAAATGAATTCAATTTATTTTTGTTCAATAACTAAACAAATATGAAAACAATAAATTATTTTTTCAAATGTCATAGTTTTCGTGGCATAATTCTGACATGCGTTACGTGCCATGTGCACTCTTGAAGATGTATATTCCACTCTAATAATTTATTATGACGAATCGAATTCTTGAGATAGTTTATTGATTGTACCGGTAACATCGTCGTATATCCATCGCCAGTCGAGCACGATAAATCGCGACATACCATTGGAGTGGGTCATGGTCCAGCGGATATGTTATTGTTTTCGCATATCGCATCTATCGCATATCTTTGGCGGACCGGCGCCAAAGATAATTTCTCCGCACGGTGGGCGGACACATGTAGACAAGCGCCACGCGAATCGTGAAACTATGCCTCGGGCAAGCTTTATTTCTAATAGTACGCAAGCGTCGAAAACGCGGATGAATCACACGGTATAATAATCGCGTGCCGGAATTTCATGCCTTCGTAAGCGAGTCCGAGAAACTTTACGTCGGACATCAATCATATTTGAATTAAGTACATAATAATGTAACCATAAGTAAACGAAATGGTAGATTATAACACAATCACAGTGGAAAAATTCAAGTTACTGCAATTATCCTACTTTTATTATCATTTTACGTTATGCATAAAGCGATAATAAAAGTAGGATAATTATATTGTATCATGTTGCGTTTATTGCTACCTTGTTGATAAACTTCCTCGTTTGAGATATG